GCTCTTCCTAACTATGGCTTATTAAGCTGTTTAGGGGGACACACACTCTTGCCCCCAGATCTCCCATCAAGGTTTCACATATCCTAGGCTAGCTTCCAGTTTCCACAGATCGGGGACATGGACCTTGAACTTCTGGTGCTTTTCTTCCTTCTCCAAAGTGCTGGCATTTCAGGCACGCGTCACACCTGGCCTATGTGATGCTGAGGATGCAACCCGGGCCTTCATGGATGCTGGGCAAGCATTCCAGCAGACAGACCCCCCCAGCCCGACTGAGCGGTTTAGGCTCGTGAGCCTTAGTTTTCTGTGATCAATTAGGTGACTACAGAGTAGTAACTGTCTTGTGGAACTCTGACAGTGGGTAGACATGTTGCATGGACAGTGCCTGCCATGAGCAGCTAGTGCATGGTATTTGTGGTGACTAGCTCCACTGAAGGGAAGTAGATTGTATTTTTAAATTCTCACATAACAGGATGTGCCAACAGCCCAGCACATTCCATTGATAGATTTCATTGAGTACTTCTGGCGGGGGCATGGATGGGTCAAATGGTTGTCTGGGAGACAGTCTGTTCCCCAGGGTGGTTTTGGAAGCACCTGCTTTGCCAACTGCTCATTAGCTCCTGGTTGTAGAATTACCCTGAGCTTTTTAGGAGATAGGAGACAGCTAATGGTGGGGGATGAGGTATTCTTGGGTTTAATAAGCACTGTCCTTCATGTGGCATTTGAATTAGTGACACTGGGAAGAAGAAAAACAAATTACATGGAGACAGCATTCAACAGCTAACTGACCTCTGAATACTTTTAGGTTATAGTATTTAGTCAGAACTTTCTCTGACAAAACACAAGTTTTTATCCCTCTAGTCCAAGGTAAGAACTTTTTTTTTCCTTTCCTATAAATGCCCTGGTTTTGCTGACACATTTGCAAAGCACCCTGTTGAAACTCAATGGGAGATTGAGAGACAGGACCTGGGATGGTATTAGTTACTTAGTTTCTTTTCTATTGCTGTGACAAAATACTATGACCAAGGCAATTTATCAAAGAAAACATTTCATTTAGGGCTCACAGTTCCAGGGTTTAGAGTTCACAATCATCATGGCTGGGAACATGGCGGCAGGGAGGCAGGCATGGCGCTGGAGAAGTAGCCCAGAGCTTACATCTGATCCACAAACACATAGCAGGGGTGGTGGTGGGGTAATCTTTTCCAAATGGTTCAACCAACTGTAGACCAAGCATTCAAATGTGTGGGCTTATGGGGGCCATTCTCATTCAAACTGCCATGAATGGGAATTGCCCTGTTGAGATGGGCTCTGAGTATTGCGGTTAAATAAGGATCAGGATAAACAAATAGGCCAAATAGATGTTTCTTCAGGGAGAAATAACTTACAACCTAGACAGATGAACACCAGGAAATTCCACCCGATGCTCTCCTGTCCGAGTCCCGGCGCTTCCTCCGACCTCCTTCCACAGGTCACTTCCGCCCATGGCTCTACCCCCCAATGGGCGTGGTCAGTGCCACAGAAGGGCTATCTCACTACATCTGAGTGAGAGTGTTTCATCTTACAAAGCTATGGGGTACAGTCAGCCATGCTTGGAAGAAACGAGAGAGAAAAACAGGAGCTCTGCAAATTGCTTCTGTGAAGACAACTTCTTTTCCCAGGAAGGGGCCATCCTGTTTCAGGAGTCAGATTCAGGGGCTTAAAAAAGCAACTTTTGGGGGTTGGTGTATAGCTCAGTAATAGGGTGCCTGCCTAGAATTCCTAGGGAGGGTCTGGGTGTGGCTCAGATGGCTTGTCTGCCATGCACAGGCCTTGGGTTCCATCCTCAGTAAACTTTAGAAACCCCACAGCCAGTTAGGGGTTTTCTTAGAATTTAGAGTCCTGACAGATCCTGGGAGAACATCCCTGAAGGTGTAAAAATGGCTCTGTCCATTCATTCATGAGACCTTTAAATATTTATTTATTTATTTATTTATTTATTCAGCTTTTTCAAGACAGGGTTTCTCCATGTAGCTCTGTCAGTCCTGGAACTTGCTTTGTAGACCAAACTGACCTCAAACTCAGAGATCCTCCGGCCTCTGCCTCCCCAGTGCTATCACCACCCCTCAAGACTTTCTTAAAATAAAAGTTCCAAGCATCTTTGGGGTTTTATTGCATTCTATTGATGCATACTTTCTTTCCCCGCCACTGTTGCAGCAGAAACTATAGGGCATTCTTTTATAAATACCAAACTCTTGTCACTAATGCTGGCTTAAGAAATAGCAGCTTGCTGGGCGGCGGTGGTGTATACCTTTAATCCCAGTATTTGGGAGGCAGAGACGGAAGGATCTGTGTGAGTTCAAGACCAGTCTGATCTTCAAGAGCTAGTTCCAGGACAGGCTCCAAAACTACACAGAGAAACCCTGTCTTGAGAAAACAAAATCAAAAATAAAAAAAGAAAGTGAGAAAGGAAGGAAGATAGGAAGGAAGGAAAATAGGAAGGAGGGAGGGAGAGAGGGCCAGAGTGGGCTCTGTAGTGAAACTCTATCCCCATAACAAAACAAAATTTAAAGTTACAGCAACAGTTTCTAGAAGGTGAGAATCGGAAACTAGTAAATACTGATGCAAGTTTGTGCCTTGCTCTCAGCTTCTGGTGCTGATGGTGTGTGTGTTCTCTCGACACCTCTCCCTATTTTATACCCTTGGGGAACACGGGGTAATTACCTTTATTGTGGCCACAGCTTGGAATGTGCTTAGGAAACCATGGGATGCAAGAGTTGGGTAAGCCCTGTCTGGTGGTGCTGGGAATAGTGATCCCAGCACTTGGGAGGTAGAAGCCTCAAGATCTGGAGTCCAAAGTCATCCCCAGCTACATAACTGGGTCAAGGCTAGCTTAGACTACCCAAGACAAGCCTCAAGGAAGACCAAAACAGAGAGCTGAGATGGGAAGAACTGCACAGTAGTTTGCTCTGGAAAACAAGCTGAGTTTTCCATTAATTTCTTTCTTGACCAGTTCTCATATAGCCCAAGCTGGTTTCTATCTAATTACATAGGATGACCTTGAACCCTGATCCCTCTACCTCTAGTGCTGGCATTACAGGCCTGGATGGACTTATGCAGTGCTAGAGATCAAACTCAGGGCGTCATGCCTGCCAGGCAAGCACTCTGCCACCTGAGCCCCAGCCCCAGCTTGAGTAAATGTCTCTTTCTCGTTGCTGTGTCCCCAGAGCCCCAATGTGATTAGTACATAAGTGGATTTTTTGTTGTTGTTGTTGTTTGTTTTTAAGGGGCAGGGCCAGGTGTGGTGGTGAACATATTTAGTTTCAGCACTCAGGATGAAAAGGCTGGAGGATCTCTGTGAATTGGAGGCCAGCTTGGTCTACAGGGTGACTTCCAGGTCAACTGGAGCTATATCATGGCCCTGTGGTAAAGGTGGCCTCTCTGTGTACAGCGGCTTTTTGCATTGTAGGAAGAGTGGGTATCCATTATCTCATATCCCTCCTATGGAGGCAGGAGGACCAAGAGAGGATAGAGATTGCAAGTTAGCAGCCATCATTTTAGCAGGAGAAATTCTGTTTCTTTAAGGTAGACTCGGTGGCCCTCAGTGACCTGTACACAAACTGAGGCAAGGCTTTCTTTACACTAACATTACCAACATCCATCTTATGATGTAACCAGATGCCACTGGAATGAGCTCTAAATGAAAACATCAGTAGCTCTGTAAAAATGAATGATGATCCTTATTTTTGAAAAGTGAGGTCAGAATTACTCCATTCAGAAGTCATGGGACTCCAGTGTCTCAGAAACTGGGGCCCAGCCTTGGTGAATAATGTTGGAGGCTGGTGAGGCAGAGTTGGAGTGTACTAGGTTCAGAGTTTTGAAATAGAAAGCCATTGTAGCATGTTTATTTATTGCTAAGATCTTACATAGCTCAGGCTGGCCTTGAACTCATTGTGTAGCTGAGCTAATCCCAGATGCTGGGATTTTAGGTATGCATATCTGCACCTGGTTTAGGTAGTTGCTGGGATCAAACCCAGGGCTTTAAGTGTGGAGTGAGTTCATGCTTGCTCATGTCTCCCTAGGAAAAGTTAACACAGTGCCAGCCTTCAGCTACCATACAGCTATGATTCCAGTCATCAGAAATGTTCAGAATTAGGCAGATCATCAGAGCCAAGAAACAGACCAGCTGTTGCCTCAGGCCGAAGAGTTTGAGGCGACAGAGGTGACATTAATAGAACAGCACTTCTTTGGGGACAGTAGAAAAGTTTGAAAATTGATTCTGGTGAAAGCTGTTAACCCAGTAAATGCAGGAAACTATTAGGTTATATGGCTTTCCTGGAACTTGCTGTGTAGACCAGGCTGGCTTTGAACTCTGAGATTCCCCTGCCCCTGCCCCCTGAGTACTAGGATTAAAGACATGGGCTTGGCTCCTGTACAATCTTCTTAACATGCAACCTGTTACTTTTTCCGCAACACTCTACTAATAGCTCAGTATTTTCTACTAGTATCCTGTTTCCTAGTCTCCAGTGTACCAAAGTTTATGTTTGCAAAAGTGCAGAATGTGTGCCTAGTAGGTGCAGAACCCTGGGTTCCATCTCCAAACAGGCATGAGCGCGCGAGCGCGCATGCGCGCGCGCACACACACACACACACACACACACACACACAGTATTACTTATCACAATACCTAGAATGCATAGCTCCTTTTGTTGTTAGCAGCTCTGAGGTAAATGCATTAGGTCTTTTAAAAAAATTGGTGTTTATATGGCTTTGAAACATACCAGTAATTCCATCTCTGTGTTTATGCATTTAATGTTTTAAGCTTAAATTACAGCATTTAAATTTGTTGATCCCCTGACTTGAGGAAAGATACTTATAGATAGTTGCTAGGGATGTGTATCTAATGTGACACTGACTTTGAGAGATTGCTGGCACATTAGCTGGTGATTTTCCCCTCCCATTGCAAATACTGAGTATAGTGGGAGTCTACTCTGTCAGTATTAACCCCAGTGTTTGTTTGCTTTCAGTGTTATGTGCCAAGAACCTTGCAAAGAAAGACTTCTTCAGTAAGTACCACTCAGCTTTGCTCTTCTATAATATGATTTAATAGATTTCTAAAAATTAAATTTTACATGTACATGTGCACATATGAGTGCGTACGTGCGTGCGTGCGTGCGTGCGTGCGTGCGTGCGTGCGTGCGTGCGTGCGTGCGTGTGTTCCCCACAGCATGCATGTGGAGGTCAGAGGACAACTTGAAGGAGTCCATTCTCTCCTTTCACCATGCTGGTACTGGGGATTGGATTTAGATCTTGTTGGCCCCCGACACTAAATTTTTTAAAAAGCACTGGGTGTAGTCTTCTCAAAGCCTAGGAATCTAGAGCTTGACAAACACCTCCCAGCTGCACACGACATTCATCTCATCCTGCATCCCAGCTATACCCACGTCCCCTGCTTCCTGACCTGGGAGTCCGGTCGGGAAGACCTTGCCCTCTGCTGGGTGGGGTAGTACTCTGCAGACAAGGCATTTATGATGTAGGTGGCTCGACTAAAACTGCCAGTCCATTTAAAAATGCGTGTAATGGGAGGGATTGTAAAGTAGCAGGGGCTGTGCCCCCGAGTGTGCCTTATCTCAGTGAAGTCAGCACCCACAGCCTGAAAACTCCCACTCTCAGTCCCTGGGGACTAGTGTTTAAGTGGCACCATCCACATTTTCAGGACAAGGAAACTTCATTCACATGGCCAAGAAACTCCAAAGTGGTGGCTCAGAGAGCAGTCTCTTTCCAAATCCTCCTGCCTTACCACTTGTCTAAGGTTATAAACCTGTTGTTTGCATATGCTAGCATCTAGAGACTCGCCCAATTATGTCTTGGGGACTCCATGATGCCACAGCTAATACAGGCAGAAAAGACCAACAAACAAAATTTCTGGGGAGCATGACTGTTTAGAAATGTACTTATCATAGATCCTGTTCCTATATGGAGTTAGTCCCTTTAAGATCATCAGAGGGGCTTGCTGCAGAGATGGATGGCTCGCTATGTGTGTGTGTCTCAGCACCCTTATGGGCAGCTTACCACCTGCAACTCTAGCTCCAGGAGATCCGACAGTTCTAGCCCTTGCAGTACACACATACATATACATATACATATACATATACATATACATATACATATACATATACATAGGCACATACACATAACTACAAGGAGTTTTTAAAATGTAAAGCTCAGCAGAGATGGACATTTGAATTTGGGCCTGTTTTCCTGCTTTTCTTAGAACCCAGGTGAGAAGGTATGTTGTCTCTGAACTCTTTCTGCTAACGGAGACCAACCTTCAAAAAGTGACTAGTGAGGAGTGACATGGGCAGTGCCTTTATCCTGAGGGGTGAACTTGCCAGTCCCTCTGTAGGGAGGATACACTATGCTCCCAGGTAGACTGTCATCTCATCTGGGTATGTCTGCTCTCTGTCCCTCAGGACTCCCTGACCCCTTTGCCAAGATTGTTGTGGATGGCTCTGGGCAGTGCCACTCAACCGACACTGTGAAAAACACCTTGGACCCAAAGTGGAACCAGCATTATGACCTGTGAGTCAACTTCCCATGAGGCTCTGGGGCTTGAGGAAAGCAGGCATGAAGCTTTGAAGAGACATACTGAAGAAAGAAAAAAGATGGCTGACTTTTTAACTGATGACCAAAGGGCTGGCCAAGTGAACTCATATTACCAGCTTTGCAGTTACTGCCCTGGGATGCTCTTGGCATTTGTTCTCATAGATTTTTATGGTTGGGCTCTTAATAGAGTGATGCTGTGCTCCTTGAACATTTCAACTTCTTAGCTGTTTCAACAGAAAAACAAACAAGCAAGCAAACAAAAAAGAGCTATGATTCATGTCTAAGTGTGCTGTATTTTTTCAGTGAAACGTAATTTCAGTGAAATGTAAATTGTAGTTTTATTTAAAAAGTATATTAGTATAACCACGTATTTCTGTTATTATTATTTTTTTTAATGTTGACTTTTTGGGTACTTATTTTTTCTTCACAACCCATTGTACAGTTTTATATATTCATTCCAAATTTAGGATCCTATTTTTATAGGAACCCACGTCCCTGCATAGTGATTAGTAACACAGACTGCACTGTGTGTGCATATGTGGGTGGGGGTTTTTAGCAGTAGTTACAGTTTGTGATTCTCTTCACATGGCTTGGAATGTGGTTGCCATTTGTCTTGATAGCTCTCTCTGAGGACATGCCCTAGGATTGAGTAGGGTTATTATCTTGGTATATGGTTCGTGTACCTTCGTGTACTTTGGATGGATTTTGTGGAATTGTAAGGAATCTCTTGTAAACTTATATTCTCTGCTAAGCCTGGGTCAATGCCCCCCAGAAGTACTAGAGTGTAGTCTACTTCTTTATAAGATCCTATCCTGTGCTGGGCCTGGGGTACCAGCCTGGAGTCCTGGAGGCTGAGGCAGGAGCATTTGGAGTTGAAGGCCTGCATAGTTTACAGAGCCAGTTCAGTCTCGCTGTTACATGGGGAGATGTAAGCACATACAAAGCAAGGTAACAGCTCCTTCAGACTTGGTGAGTTGATAAGTGCACCCGGGGTGACTTACAGGAGGGAGGGTGACGGGTGACTTAGAGGAGCAGCTGCAGTACCAGAAGCCTACCCCAGCACCAGTGATGCCCCCCCCCCCCAGAAGCTGGGCCCTGTTTTTCTCTGTAGGACTCATAGGCAGCTTAGCATCCTGGTCTCATTTCTTCAGCAGTCTATAACTTGTAAGCCTGGGAAGCCCACCCCTCCACCCCCTTGTGAATCTGGTAAGTTTCAGGATTTCCCGAGACTTGTGAGTTTTCTGTGTTTTACTGAGATTCCTTTAGGATTTTCTGAGTTTAAATAAGTCTCCCTTTGGTGTAGAATATTTTACTTCCAAGGAAACTGTTTCACAGCACCAGCCTGGGCAACTTAGACTCCATCTCAAAATAAAAAGTTTTGTTTTGTTTTGTTTAAATCAGGGAGGGATGGGATTGGGCATATGGCTAAGGAAGAACACTTGCCAGTGAAGGGTGCTAGAGTGCTTGCTTTGGCCTGTGGGAGGCCCTTGGTTCCATCTCAGGTGCAATAAACAAATGAATAAAGGAAATGCTAATTTAAAATGCTTATTATGACTTGGTTACCTGCACTCAAAGCTTGTGCATCTGGTTGGAATCTTTATCCCATGCCTAGTGAGACACAGACACTCAACAGGCACTCCATGGAGTCTAAGTCAACCAGATGCATGTGAATGAGGCTGTCATAGTTCCAGAGTGTATCTGAGCGAATTCATGTGCTCTCGCAGGTATGTTGGGAAAACCGACTCTATAACCATCAGTGTGTGGAACCACAAGAAGATCCACAAGAAACAGGGCGCTGGCTTCCTGGGCTGTGTGCGGCTGCTCTCCAATGCCATCAGCAGATTGAAAGACACTGGCTGTAAGAACCAAATGCTCTTCCACCTCTCAGTGCAGCTGGAGAAAGCTAGGAGGCATCTCTTTCTTTCTTTGTTTTGTTTTGAATGCTGAATACAGAATTCCTGCCTTCCTCCCTAGTTAACCTTCCCTGGGTTAAGTTTTGAATTGTTTGTTTGCAGACCAGCGTTTGGATCTATGCAAACTAAATCCCTCAGATACTGATGCGGTTCGTGGCCAAATAGTGGGTAAGAATTTTCTCATCTGCATAAAGGGCTCTTTGACGGAACCCAACCCACCGTCCTGTCCTGCTCCTGGTACTGATGGGGCCAGGCTTCCAGGGCAGACCACATCCGGGCCATCTCTCCAGAACAAGCCTTTCCTTTCATGTGGTTTTCATTCTTTTCTCTGGTTCCCTTCATCCTGTCATTGAAACTGAGTTCATGTGACTCCAGTGGAGATGGAGGTTGTGATTTATAAGTGTCGTGCCAGTCACCACAAGAGTGGACAGTTGCCGTTTATAAGAGCTGAGGCCACATGTTGAAGAGCTGAGTTGGGATGGCCACATGTGCAAGAGCTGGAACATGTGATCTCTGGGAAGCCCCATCCTATATGGCAAAAGCGACCATGATGTGTGACAAATCCAAGAAATGTGATTGATAGTCAAAGGATTCCATTCTGTGGAGAGAAAGATTAAAATGTGCTTACAGTGTTGACTGGAGGCATTCCTATGAAGTGATCTCTGAGTTGCCCATCCCTTGCCCACCCTGTTCTTGGCAGTGTGTTAGGGGAAAGCACATGCTAGCCGTGTGTATTGATTGACTGCATGGACTCGGCGGAGCAGCATCCAGGCTGAGTCACTCTGCAGCTCCAGATGTGTCAGGTCCCAAGACAGTGAGCAGTGCATCCACCCTGGCAACAACTTAGTGATAACGCTCTCACACACGCACTCCCACCTGGAGTCTCTTCTTTCCTCTGCGAGGGATGTGTCACATGACTGAAAACTTAGGAGTAAAACCACTTTTTTGTCACGTCATGCCAGTGAGGCCAGACAGGAATGTTTCTTTAGATTGAGCTAGACTGTGGGCACTGAAGGTGTCCTTTGTACCTCCACTAACCCTAACCCAGGTCTTCTTAAGACGGAGGCTAACGGAATGGGATTACACACTGTGTTCTGTAGCTGTATGGGGGGTGGGGGAGCCTCAGCAGCTTTTCTGCTCTCTGCTTTCAAGGACTGTGTGTGAGGTGTGCAGCTATTGGCCCGAGATGCTTCACACTGAAAGAAAGCCTCAGGGTGTGTGTGTGTGTATGTGTGAACTCACTTTTTATGATACTGGATGTACATTATAGCGTGTCAGTGGCTCACTGTGTGGCAGAGTGTAGAGCAGCCCTTGGTTCTAATGTAAACTCTTTTGTGTTGTAGTCAGTTTACAGACCCGAGACAGAATAGGCAGTGGAGGGTCGGTGGTGGACTGCAGAGGACTGCTAGAAAATGAAGGGTACGTATGCTAACCATGATGGCAGCCTTGTTCTTTTTCCCCATAGGAAGGGACCTTTGAACCTTACACTGCTGTAGAGGATAAAACTGTTCCAGACTACTAGTTTATGAAGGAAGGTGTAATTATCCCAGGGATTAGACCCCCCCCCCCCAAAAAAAAAAAGACTTAGGAAATAAGTCAGGGAAGTTAGTACACCTGGAGTATCATCACTAAGGGGACAGAGGCAGGAAGATCCTGAGTTCTAGGCCAGCCTGAGCTATTAAAACAAAACAAAACAAGAAACAGCCACTAAAAGCCATATGGGACGCAATTCCTGTGTGTGCATGTGTTTGTATAGGCTAGCAGTCAACCTTGATGTCATTCCCTTTGAGCCATCCACCTTGGATTTTTTTTTTTTTTAAGATTTATTTACTTTATATGTGTTGGTGTCTTGCCTGCATGTATGTTCTGTGTAAGGGTGTTGGATCCCCTGTAACTGGAATTACAGGCAGTTGTGAGCTGCCATGTGGGTTCTGGAAATTGAACCTGAGTCTTCTGGAAGAGCAGTCAGTCAGTGCTCTTAACTGCTGAGCCATCTCTCCAGCCCCCACCTTAGATTTTTGAGACAAGGTATTTCACTGACTTGGGACTTACCAGTTAGCCTAGGCTCGCCAACCAGTGAGCCTCAGGGATACACCGGTCTCCTCCCCTATGCTGGGATTACATGCATACACTAGCACACTAGCTGGGCTTTGAACTCAGGTCCTCATGCTTACAGAGTGCGCACTCTACCCACTGAGCCATCTCCCCAAGCCCTGGACTTTGTTTCCATCATGATTTATAAGACAAAGTAATTTGAACATTGGCTCATGTTTGATTTTTTTTTTCCCCACCAAAATGAATGTTCCTTTGTTCAGCTGCAATAATGGAGAAGTCCTTTAAAAAAAAGTAGTCCATGCCAAAACATGTACAGATAGAATAGTAAAATGTAGGGATTGGACTGGCAGTAGCCCGGTTGTGGAGAGGGCGGAGCAGCCTGCCGACACACTGTAACTGGCTGCTGGTTTCGGGAATAAGCCCAATTTCTCACCTTTCAATATAAGAGGGTTTTAAAAAAAGTATTCGATCATAAGGGGAAGTGACTTATTAAGGCAAATTGTTTTTGAAACTGCTGTGGGTGGGCAAAAAATGTTTATAAAGCACTTAGAGCCATAGTATTTTATGTAACAAAAAAATTGAGTGTTTGGATTAAATCAAGAAAAGTGAAATGTCACAATGTCACCAGTACCTTCTGTTGCACCTCCCCTCACTTAGAGCTGTAGCCTCGAGTGGCCTTGGTAGTCTACATTGGGGTTCCTCTGACTTCTCGTTCTACTTGAGTCTTTCTCTCTCATCGGACACCCTAAATACCATGAAACTTAGCGTTGGGAACACTGTCATTGTTAAAGGGACATAGAACAAATGCATGTACGATTTGAGTATGTGAGTCTTGTGACCCTTCCTTGATGTTCCCATACCTGCTCCGCCCTGTCCCTTCCAGAACAGTGTATGAAGACTCAGGCCCCGGAAGGCCGCTCAGCTGCCTCATGGAGGAACCTGCCCCATATACAGATGGTACCGGTGCAGCTGCGGGAGGTGGGAACTGCAGGTTTGTGGGGTCTCCAAGCCAAGATCAGAGACTCCAGGTACAGCGACTCCGAAATCCCGAGGTTCGAGGGTCCCTACAAACGCCCCAGAACCGACCACATGGCCACCAGTCACCAGAGCTGCCTGAAGGCTATGGTGAGTGTCTTAAACACCGCAACTAAGAGTGGTTGGGGAGGAAAGGGTTTATTTAGGCTGTAGTCTGTCACTGAGGGGAGGGCAAGAGCTGACACAGACCTAGAGGAATGACTCCTTGCTCCACATGGCTTGGCAGCCAGCATTCTTTCTCTTTTTTTAAATTAATTAGCCGAGCATTGGTGGTGCTTGGCAGAGGCTGGGGATGGGGGTGGGATGGGGTGGGGTGTCTGTGAGTTCGAGGCCAGTCTAGTCTACAAAATGAGTTTCAAGACAACTAGGACTGTTACACAGAAAAACCGTGTCTCGAGAAACAAACAATAATTAGCTAGGCAGTGGTGGCTCATGTCTTTAATCCCAGCACTCAGGAGGTAGAGGCAGGCTGGCTGATCTCTGTGAGTTCAAGGTCAGCCTGGTCTACAGAGCAAGTTCCAGGACAGACTCCAAAACTACAGAGAAACCCTGTCTTGAAAAACCAAATAAATAAATAAACAAATAATTCATTAATTAACTTTACATCCTGACAGAAGTTTCCCCTCCCTCCTCTCTTCCCAGTCCCTCCCACCCCCACACACCCCACACTCTCACACAAAGCTCCAGAAAACCAACTCACAGGGGCTCATAGAGACTGAACTGCCATCCACGGAGCCTGCATGGGTCTGACCTAGGCCCTCTGTTCATGTTACAGTTGTATAACTTTGTCTTCTTGTGGGACTCTTAAAAGGGGAGCAGGGGCTGGCTGTCTTTGACTCTGTTGCCTGCTTTTGGGACCATTTCCTCTTACTGGGTCGTCTTGTCTTAATAGGAGAGCAAGTGCCATATCAAGGTACCTGCTATTTTGATATGCCATGGCTGGTTGTTTCTGTTTTTGAGACAGGGTTTCACTATGAAGTCCTGGCTGGCTTGGAACTCACTTTGTAGACCAGCCTGGCCTTGAACTCAGAAATGCACCTATTCTTTCTCCTGAGTGCTGGGATTGCAGACACATGCCACCATGCATGTTTTACTCTGCTTTCTTATATCATGGAGAACCACCTACCCAGTGGGCTGGGCCCTCCCACATTAATCACTATTCAAGAAAATGCTCCCAGAGACTTGCATACAGGCCAATATGATTCAGTTAAGATTTTCTTTTCCCAAATAACTCTAGCTTCTATCAAGTTGACAGAAAACTAGCCAGGACAGTGAGGAATTCACCCTTGTGTCGCTACAGAATCGGCCCTTGTCCTGAGAGCCTGTGTTGTCAAACTTTTAAAGTGCCCTATGCTCACCTGCTAATGGCCCGTCTGTGCCTCCCATGGCCATGACATTGGATGACTGTGGCCACATACGGATGGGAAACTTGGAATGATTTCTCCCTGTGTAGAGGCCACCTGGAAATGCTAGCTATGGAGATATCAGAGAGACAACATTGTGAAGCAAGAAGGGGTGGGAAGAGCAGAGCCATGTGGCTGTAGTGCAGAGAAGGACCAGGAAGGATGTTGGGCACATCATCAGATTACCCAGATGAAAGCATCTTAGGAGAGAGATGGTGGAGATGAAGGTCGTGTCTACAGCAGAAGTGGGTGGAAGCATCAACCCCAGGGTGGCTCAGTGAGAAAGATTCTACCCAAACGTGCAGACAGTAGACTTGAGGGAGCCAGCCATAGCCCTGTAATTCTTTACTCTGTGATCATAAAACGTGTTGAAAGAAGTGGGTACAGTGGTGCACACCTGCAGTCTCATCGCTGAGGATTGCCACAGAGGCAGGAGAACCATGAGTTCAATGACGGTTTGGGCTACATCGTAATACCTGTGTCAAAACTAACACACACACACACACACACACACACACACACACACTAAAAGCTTAAGAGTCTGGAAATAGAATTAGAGTGGGGAACTATGGAACTGAATTTACTCTCTCAAATTCCTTTCTCATGCAGAGCAAAGGACAACAGTACAGGGACAAGTTTACTTTTTGCACACGCAGACTGGAGTCAGCACGTGGCACGACCCCAGGATCCCCAGGTAGGCCTCACAGGCTTGAAGAGCCAGCCCCTCTCATGGAAGCTAGCAGTGCCATGTGAAGGGAGATGGAGGCTGGGACTTGCTGGGCAGGGGCATGTGTGGGGGAGCATGGAACCATGGTGGGCTTTGATCACCATTGAAGTTGGTCACGTGGCCATCTCCTATGAGCGCTCTCTACTTTTTGTAAATGCATAAAATTTTCCTTGATACAAAGTTAAACAGGAAAGATAAAGACTCTGTTACCCTTTCTCTCTTCTACTTTACTGCCCCTCTTGCCTCAGTCCCTTGGGGACCATTCCGGGGGGAGATGAAGCTTTTCTATACGAATTCCTTCTACAAGGCCATACATCCGAGCCCAGGTCAGAGAGACCCCCGCCCCACCCTGTGCCAGAGTTAAGTTTCTTTCTTTCTTTGCTATTTTCCTCTTCTGTTTCCCTTTTTACAGTAGCATTACTACCTAAGAGACCTTGGGCAATGCTCATTTCCTTTTTATTCACGATTTGTTCCCCAAGAACCAGCTTCCTATCTTTGGTGTTGAATTTACTATTCAGAGGCTGTCATTTGCCTGGGAATATTTCCTGTAAATGACTGCCTCTCGGTATGCATTGTCAGAAATGACAGGCGTCTGTGTTAATCCCTAAGGTGTCTTGATCAGGTATGCTTGTCCCTTCTGACTAGATCACAGTGAGGTTATCAAGGTGCCAAAGTGAGAGCACTTGCTGATCATGGGGTTGCCTTGTTGTGGGCCACCATGCCATTGAGTGCATGCTCTGTGTTCTTCCCAGAGTGTGGGGCCCTCAGGAACTTCTCAGTGGAGGAATCTGCTACACCAAGCATCTGCTTTGAGTAGTGACTTCCAAGAGCTTCCTAATGGGAGCCAGGCGCTTCCTGCTAGTGTGCCCTCTGTTGTGTGAGGAGAGCTGTTCCTGGGGTAGCCCCACTCCCTTTGGTGGGCACGAACACTTGAGAGGTCTTCTCTTACTGTCAGGTGATGCTGCCATTTGTAGGTCAGAGGTTTAGACTTACTGGGGTTGGCACGAGTAGCAGTGTGACAGGGACATGGGTACCTTGCTAGGAGACCTCTGTGGCTGCTGGCACTCAAGTTGGTCTGCTTCTTGGTTCTCAGTGGGATAAAGCTCTCTATACGTTCCGTTTTGCTAGAGACCTTAACAGTGTGAACTGTGATGAACTTGGGCCGCTGCCTCCAGGCTGGGAAGTCAGAAGTACAGTGTCGGGAAGAATCTATTTTGTAGATCACAATAATAGGACAACCCAGTTTACAGACCCACGGCTTCACCACATCATGAAGTAAGACCTTAACATCTTTGCTGGCCTCTACTTTATAATTGGATGCTTCCTTGTTTGAGTGAGTGAGTGTGTGTGTGTATGTGTGTGTGTGTGTGTGTGTGAGAGAGAGAGAGAGAGAGAGAGAGAGAGAGAGAGAGAGAGAGAGAGAGCAAGTGCTCAACAGTGGTGTGGTGTTTGCAGAGGTTCTAGGTCAGTGTTGAGTTCTCCCTCTATCATTCTCCAATTTTTGAGCAGAGTGACCCATAACTCATCTTTTTGACTTGTCTAGCTGGCTAGCAAGTTCCAAGGATCTGCTTGGCTCCACCCCCAGCAGTAGAGTGACAGATAAGCACACCTGGGTTTTTACTTGGGATCTGGGGATCTGAACTCATATCCTCAGGCTTGCAAAGCAAAAACTTGACTCGATGAGCCATTCCCTCAGGCCCACACCAATACTTAATGTATCTACTGCAGTGTTTGCTTGACAGTGGGCATAAGCCAAGTAAGGTGGGTAATTGATGGACGGTGACACAATTTAAACCCTGAGATTAGCGTGGCTGTTACTAAGGCTCCCATTGTTGCACCCTTTTCCTACAAGAATCCTATATGAAGGTCACTGCGGTGATGGCAGGAAGAGGCTCTCCAGCGAAACTTGGACAGCACATCTTATAAAGGCCTGATGGTGGTGGTGTTGCTTGGGGGCTATTCCTGTGCCTTGGAAATGGATTTGATCTTTTGTGCCACATACAGACACAGCTTTACACAGAGCTCTGCAGTGTGGCTCATGTGAGTGGTAAAACTTGAATAAAGCAAATGTCACAACGCCCCTACTGGCTCTAGTCCCGCCACTCATCTTTGTTCTTAGTTGACAGGGCTGGGAATCTTGATCAAAAATGGGGGTGGATGCCACACGTTGTCTGCTCTTTACTTCTGGTCTGGCTTCCAGTGATCCCATCACAGACCCCCGCCAGCTTCATTTCATCCTGCCAGCTGGTATCAATGGCACGTATAGATAGATGCACGACACTCAGACAATTTCTGTTGTAATTTTCTCTAATAATGTAGCAGACTATATTAGTCAGGGTTCTTTAGAGGAACAAAACTTACTCTGTGTGTGTGTGCGTGTGCGTGTGTGCACACGCACACACGCACATGTGATTTATTACAATGACTTGTAGGCTGTGGTCCAGCTAGTCCAACAATGGCTGCCTATGAATGGAAGGTCTAAGAATCCAGTAGCTGTTCAGTCCACAAGGCTGGGTGTCTCATCTGGTCTTCAGTATACACTGGAATCTCAAAGATGGAGGCTTTAATGCCGGTGAAGGGATGACTGTGTTAGTGAGAGCCAGTGCAAGCAGGCGAAGAGAGAGCAAGCTTCCTTTAGGCTGCCAGGAGGAGGTGTGGCCCAGATTAAAGGTGGAGCTTCCCTCCTCAAAAATCCGGATTAGAAGTGGGTCCTCCCACTTCAAGTGATTTCCTTAAAAATAAAAGAAAAAAAGGAAGGAAGGAAAAGAAACACACTCACAGATGTGCCCAGCTATTTGGGTTTTAGTACATTCCAAGTGTGGTCAGGTTGAGAATCAAGAAATGACTGCTTGGAGCTTGGAACTGGAGTATCTATCTCCTTTATTGTACCCAGACCTGTGTTGGGCTGATGCCGGCTCTCAGGAGTTGTCACTCATCAGAGCAGGCCTGCCGTCAGAAGAGCCTTCTGGGTCTCCTGAGTCCATGCTGGTCTGGCCTGCAGCTCTCTGGCCTGTCCAGTGATGTCAGGCTGTCTCTCTTCTTTGCAGTCACCAGTGCCAACTCAAGGAGCCCAGCCAGCCGCTGCAGCTGCCCAGCGAGGGCTCCATGGAGGATGAGGAGCTTCCTGCCCAGAGATACGAGAGAGATTTAGTTCAGAAGCTCAAAGTTCTCAGGCATGAACTCTCTCTTCAGCAGCCCCAAGCAGGTCATTGTCGAATAGAAGTTTCCAGAGAAGAAATATTTGAGGTAAAGAATTACGTCTTGTTAAATCATGTAGCACCTTGGAGAAACAAGCAGGGAGGCTTGTGTTAAATAAGTTGCACCATCTCAGTGGACTCTGCTTTCTGCTTAGTACTGATTTGTTCCTGTTTAGCTTTTATTGTAACAGGATGTAGTAACACATGCTTTTTATCCCAGTACTAGGGAGGCAAAGGCAGGGGGGATCTCTGTGAGTTTGAGGCCGGTCTGGTCTACACAGTGAGAACCTGTCTCAGAAAGGATTTTTTTCATTGCGGATATTCATACAGTGTCCTGTTACAGGAGGACATTTTCACACTTTTCGCCACACCACTCTCTCCCAGCCTCTGCCCTCTGCTGTCTTGGCCTCCCACAGTCTTCTTGTTCCCCTTAATACTTCACAGATATGTATATGATTTTATGTATCTATGAAATCGAGGAATCTTGTATATGAGAGAAAACGTGATATTTCTCTAAGACAGGTTTAATTTCCTTACTATCATTGCTTCCAGTTGCTCTTACTTTTCTGCAAATGACATAACTTCATTCTACAGATAAAAATTTTCCAGTGTCTATACATAGCACACAGTCTTTATCCAGTCCCCTGTTGTTGGACACCTAGGTTGGCTTCATAGCTTAGCTGTTGTGAATAAGCAGTGATGACTTATTATGTAACCCTTCGCATTCAGAGATCTGACATTCATGCACAGCACACTGTCAATCAAGCCATGGTTGGTTGAGAGACCTCCAGACTGACTGACTTCCATGGTTCCTGGACCAGTTTGCACTTCCACATTCTTAGCAGCATTTATTTGTGTTCTTGATGTCTACCACTCCGAGGGCAGAAATGGACTCCCCGTGCAGTTTTTCTGAGTTCTCTGTATAGTGCATATATGAACCCTTCAAAATTAGTATAGCTAGCAAAGATCCTCCCCTCCCAAGAGATCAGTTTTACTGTTTAGTGAGATGCAGGTTTGTCGGGACCAAGGTTCGTGCTGAGTAGAATTGCGTTTCTGTTTCCGACAAGTTTTAAGTGCTCAGGGGCTTCTGGGGGGGAGAACACAGAGCTGTGCAGGATCTGGTTGCTCAGCTGGCCCTGAGCAGATGTAGGTCATTTCTCAGCCTGGGTGTTCTCATACCCACTCACTCCTTCCAGGGTTTCAGCTAGCGCACTTCCTTCTCAGAGACAAGGCATGGCCATTCGGCCCTGGATTTGTCTCTAGGAACAGGTTCTGGCCCCTACTAGTTCCTGGCAGTCAAAATACTACGTGGTTAGGGCCTTTTCTGAAAGAAAAGACAGGTCATGAGGTAAAAATCTTAGCTTTGATTGGGCTTCACCTGCCCACATATGTGGAAACACTTGGCAGAAATTACTACCCAAGGAAGTTTGCCAGTTAAGGAAACTTGGTGAGAGCTTATCTCATAATGCAAAAGTAAACAAGGACCAGGGATATTGTTTAGTGGTAGATCACCTGCCTAGAATCCCCCAGTGAGGGGCTGGTGTGTGGCTCAGTTGCAAACTTGTCTAGTGTATTGCAGTATCCTGGGTTTTCTCCCTAGTGTGCCCCCCCTCCTTATTTTTCTTTGTGAACCCATGGCTTTGATGTGTAGGAGTCATATCGCCAGATCATGAAGATGCGGCCGAAGGACCTCAAGAAGCGCCTGATGGTGAAGTTCCGGGGGGAGGAAGGTCTGGACTATGGTGGAGTGGCACGGTGAGCTCATTTATCCCTCTTCCTCACATGAGACTTCTTAGGTCATTGTCACGGCACTTCCCAAGTGCCACAGTGGAGCATGCCTGCTGCACTGCCAGCATCCCCATGGGACACTCAGGCTTCTCCTCTGCTGACTTGAGCTGCTGATGTCACCCGTTAGAAGATTTATGATTGTCACTTCATTTACTTGGCATAGTCAGGATTACACTTCGATGCACACTCCCTCTTCAGCTCATGTGTCTGAACACAGAACTCCAAGGTCCTCTCCTGAACTTAACATGGAGACAGCCTGGCTTTTCTCACTGCAGCATCGGGGGTGGGACACGTGTGTAAATTGTGCTTGTATGAGGGCAGTTTTAAAAGGTGCTGGCAATCTGATCATTTAAAAAGAATAATGAAAAGCCTCTTTTTCCTGCCCAGCCCCTTTTTACTTTTGAGTCAAGGGCTTCTCAACTGTTAGTTCCAGATGCCTCCATGTGGTCAGGTTCAGGCTGCTACCTTCTGGTTTAGGGATCTGGTCACAGACATGGACTCTGGGCAGCAAGGAGAAGGCTTAACTTCTGCTCTACTATTGGGCTGTCTTCAGTTTTCCATGTCTGCCACTCAAGCTCCTCTGAAATGCTTTTCTTTTTAAAGGCTTAATTCACTTTATGTGACACTGTTTTGCTTGTATGTGTGTCTAAGCACCATGGCATGCAGTATGACACAAGCCAGAAGAGGGCATCAGATTCCCCTGGTACTGGAGTTACAGATGGTTGTGAGGCCTCTAGAGCTGGAAATCAAACCCAGGTCCCCCGCAAGAGCAGTCAGTGCTCTTAACCACTGAGCTCTCTCAGCACCCTACTCTTACAGAATACTATTTGGCCCTTTAGAATTTACTTGTCTATGGATTCTTCCCCCACCCTTCCCTCTCTATTCCTCCTTCCTTTTCATTCCTATATCCCAGAATTCCATACATATTATAGACCAGTCTTGAACCTAAGGCAATTCTCCTGCCTCAGCCTCTTGAGTGCTATAATCACAGGTGTGAACTACCACACCTGGCTTCTTTTTAAAACCAGGCTTGTCTTCCTTGTCCCCATAAACTTGAAAATCACCGGGACAACACTTGGCAGCCATCTCCTTGGAGACCTGCCTGCTCCTTCTGTGATTCTCCAGCCTGAGTGTTGCATGAGCAGCCTCTGCTGTATGATCCCAGCCACTTCTCTCTTGGCTTCTGCCTGTGGATCAGTTGTGTGACTATGAGTTTCCATTTGTCTGTGTCCCCTGACAGTAGCTACACTTGGTGAGAAACTTTGTTTGGTTCATGGCCAGATCCGCAGTTCTAGAAAGGCCCTGTAAACACCTGCTGTGCACAGGAGTGTAGTGCAAATTCTGATTAGTCTCAAAAATAAAACCCAGAGTCAGCTATTAGGCCGTGAAAGCTGAAAGGTCACAGCAGTGAAGTAGCCAGCCACTAGATTTTTGCGGGGTGTCTGCAGGACTGAACCCATCCCACAGTAGGGTGCCTTGCAGCTCCACCACCGCCTTGACTTGGTTTCCAGTGGAAGTGGTTATTGTGTTTGGCTGCTTTGGGTTTGGGATTTTTTATTTTAAAGAGTAAAGTGATCCAAGCATTAAAGGAATTTAGAAAATAAGTTGGCCAATATGTTGGTTGAGAAATCCCTCCAGATTTCTAAAACTCTTAGCATTCTCTAATGTTTTTAGATTCGTCTAGTTTTTTTACATTACATAAGTGCTGCGGATATGGTTCCAGCTGTAAAGTGTTTGCCCTGAAAGCAGGAGGCTCTGAGCTCAAGCCTTGGAACCTATGGAAAAGCCCAGCACAGTGGCTGGGGCAGCAGAGACAGGAGCGACCTGGGGCAACTGAGGAAGACAGCTGAGGTCGACCTCTACCCTTCACATGAACACGTACACATGTGCACACAAGTAAAACATTAAAAAGGAAGGTGGTCCGTGTGTGGTCTAAATGAAGAATTGAGCAGGAAATGAAAAGGGCAGAGTTGTTCATGAAGTTTCCGCTTCCCTAAAGCTTGAGCTGTTCCCTTCTGTGAAACCCTTTACTATAGCCTTTACTATAGCGCTTCCTGTCCCTGCAGAGGACCTTACCTTGGTTCCTAGCATCACATGGCAGTTCATAACCTCCTGTAACCAGCTCCAGGGATCTGATGCCCTCTTCAGGCCTCCTTGGGCACAGCATTGTAGGCACGTGGCATATACATTTACACATACCTTTAAAAGTCTGGAAAATGATATATTAGCTGAAATGAAACACACATGTGAGTCGTGTTGTTTTTGTTCCCAGGGAGTGGCTGTATTTGTTGTGCCATGAAATGTTGAATCCATATTATGGACTCTTCCAGTATTCCACGGACAATATTTACACACTGCAAATCAACCCAGATTCTTCCGTCAACCCTGTGAGTGTTCCCAATGGAGATTTTAGGAATCTAGCTGGAGTTTTTGAGGCAAATCTGGTTTCCACCAGTCCCTGGTAACTTGGAGATGATGCTGAGGAGGGTTCGGGGCAGGGGTGGGAGCGTCAATTTGCAGAACCTGGTTCCAACCTGGATTTCAGCCAATCCTAGAATGGGCCTGCTATGTAGACAGAGGGCTGTGGCTCTGAGCTGCTCTGGGCCACAGCATGTTATGTTATCTTTTTTTTGGGGGGGGGTTGTTTTGGTGACAAATCTTGTGTTTTTATTTTTGATGTCATCTTAAGAGCTAGGTTACCAAGTCCATACCCTGATCAAAATTGGAAAAGTTCCATAATTAGCTCTTTAGGCCACAAATGTGAATACTCAGCATGTGGTGTATGAGACACATCCATGGGTGGGTTTAAGACCATGGTGGATTTCTGTGGGATTACATCCAGTATCACAAGGCCACAAAATTGGAATTAGGGACTCACTTTAGTAGGGAATTCCAATACAAATAAACCTGTGGCTGGGAAGATGGCTCATCCACACAAACTAAAGACCTGTTCAGACTGCAGATTCCACCAGGACGCCAATTGTGGCTGGGGGTGGTGGCGTAAGCCTTTAATCCCAGCACTTACTGGGGGAGGCAGAGGCAGGCAGAGCTCTGTGAGTTCAAGACCAGCCTGATCTACAAGAGCTAATTCCAGGACAGCCAAGGCTATGTAAAGAGACCCTGTGTCATAAAAAACCAAGCAAACTCCCTCCCCCAAAAAAGCTAGGTATGGAGTGGGTGCTGTGAGGAGGTGGAGATGGGTGATCCCTGGAACTTGATGGCTGGCCAGCCTGATTTATAAGATCCAGGCTCCATGAGAGATCCTGGTTCAAAATACAGTGGACAGCACTTGAGGAATGAAGGTGACCTTGGATTTTGATGCACACACCTCCACATGTACACACACAACGTGAATGAACTTTCAACCAGACCCTTCTGTTTAGTAACCAGAACCTCTTCAGTTGAGGAAGAGAGACAGCACTGTCAATTGTGGGGAAGTCTCCACATTGTCACTTTATCTCAGGCTGAGTTCTTAGGATGAGACCACACACACACACACACACACACACGCACGCACGCACACACACACGGCTAGGGTACAGTGATACATACCTGCATCCCAGTACTCTGGAGGCTGAGGCAGGAGGATTGCCAGTTCCAATCCCACCCGAGTTAGAAGTGAGTCTCAAAACAAGAGAAATGCCCTGTAAACATGAAGCTAAATGGCAGCGGTATCCTGCCTGGCCACAGTGGGTGATGGGCAGCTGAGTATACACTGTTACTTCCAGAGGCCTGGGAACCGTGCCCATGCCCTCAGTTCATCCTCTAATGACTTGCTGTTCTCTGGTGCCCCCTACAGGACCATCTGTCTTACTTCCACTTTGTGGGTCGCATCATGGGTCTGGCTGTGTTCCATGGACACTACATAAATGGGGGCTTCACAGTTCCATTCTACAAGCAGCTCCTGGGAAAACCCATCCAGCTGTCAGATCTGGAGTCGGTGGACCCAGAACTGCATAAGAGTTTGGTGTGGATTTTGTAAGTGTCAACATCCTGCACCAGCTCCTGGTGTGTTTGTTGTGTGTGCACATGCTTTGGGTGAATAGGTGTGAAACTAGATGAGAGTAACAAAGCTTAACTATAACAACCACCAGCACTGGATTGCAATTACAATTAACAAAACAGATCTAACAGAATCTTTTAACTGACTTATATTCTTAATGATGCTTAGCAGGTTTCTTTTCACAAGCTGTTTTTGTTTTTTTAAATTAAGGTTTGATTACAAATGCCAGTAACCTTCTTGGTGTGTGTGAGTGGGAGGGAGTGAGGGAGGTGAGCATCCCCAGTTTCTCAGGTGATTTGTAGCAGGCAAGAAAAAGTATCAAGATAATATGAGTGTTTACCTTCGCTTTAGAGTTAATGAGGATGGAAGGCCAGCCCTAGACAGGCCAGGGAAGCTGCTGTGTGGTGTCTGGCCTGGGACCTCCTTCCCTGGCTTGGCATGCTCCACCATGAAGGGCTTGGGGGTGGGGGCTTCCTGTGGGGAATCTGTCTTTCCCATTGTCGTGAAGTAGGGCAGATAAAGTCAGTCTGACATTTCAAGGGATTTTGTGTGTGTGTGGGGGGGGGGGCAGAGGCCTTTGAAAGACTACACTGAGGAGGGAGAACCCTCATTTCACTGCCTTAGTCCTTTGGACTCTGCTGCCTCTTCACAGGCTTCCTCTTCCCAGAGCAATCAGGCCTCGTGTCCCATGGTGTCACAGGATGAGAGTAACCCCCACTCTCCCCCACCATGAATGAAAATCATAAAGACAGGGACAGAATGTGAGCCGTGTCTGCCAGTGTCCAGCACAGCCCCCTAGAACTCTCTGACGTGGGCCTAACCAGCCTTTGCCTGTGTCCACAGAGAGAATGACATCACGCCAGTGCTGGACCATACCTTCTGCGTGGAGCACAATGCTTTTGGGCGGATCCTTCAGCATGAACTGAAACCCAATGGCAGGAATGTGCCTGTAACTGAGGAAAACAAGAAGGAATATGTCCGGTAAAATGCAGGGCTAGCTTCAGTGGTAGCCCAGAGTGAGCAGAAGGTGTGGTCAGGGTTACCCATAGTAGGAGACTCCATGTGACAGCTCAGCCTCCCGATGTAGAGGTGGCAAGCCAGGGTCAGCAGTGGCTGCCAGTGTGTCCCAAGGAGTCCATTCTAGCATCCCAATTCCAACCCGAGGGAGTTATGTGCGCTGGCGATTGTGTCACACTGTCACACAGGCTGTGCAGACCCTCTGAAATCTCAGGAGTTCAGCAGGTCTCACTAAGTCCTCTTGCCTTTATAGTAGAAAACCAGAACTGGTTCACCTGTACCTTGTTAGAAAGGCCGGAGTAGCATGGTGTGTGGTACAGACCTGTAAGTCCAGCACTTGGGAGGCAGACATAGGAGTAGTTCTAGACCATTCTGAGCAACACTGAATTCAGTCCCTTTCTCCAGGGGGGTGGGGAGAGGAGGGGAGGGGAGGACAGAAGAGCCAGGTGGGATGGATGGCACAGACCTTAACGCTGACAGTAAGAGTTCCAGGCCATCGAGCTTAGGACAGCCTAGGCTCCATGAAACCCTGTCTCAAAAAGATGACATGAGGTGCTGGCGTGCTGATTGGGTGGTGAAGAGCACTGGCTGCTCCTCTAGAGGGCCAGCACCCACATGGTGGCTCACAGCGGTCTGTAGCCAGTTTGAGAGAATCTAGCATCCTCTCCCGCCTCCATTGGCAGCAGGCACACACATGATGCAGATATGCAGGGAGAACACACGTACACTTAAAATAATAATAGTAATTAAAGATAAGGCCAGACAGACAAAGCTACCAGGGAGGTGGCTGACACCCACTCGGCAGGTTCCATATTAACTTCATACTTGATGTATTGTCACATTGTGGGGACAGTGCTCATGGCCTCTCCACAGTCGCTTACAGTGTGTGGCTTTTCCTTTCAGGCTGTATGTAAACTGGAGGTTTATGAGAGGAATTGAAGCCCAGTTCTTAGCGCTTCAGAAAGGGTTTAATGAACTCATTCCCCAACACTTACTGAAGCCCTTTGACCAGAAGGAACTGGAGGTAAGTGCTAGGCACCCTGGGCCCTCTAGACAGTGAGGCCACTGGCAACCTGTGTGTGTGTGTGTGTGTGCAGTGGGCTTAGTGCTGGAGACAGGTGCTCTGGCTTGTCACACACTGGGTGGTGTCTGTGCCTTGGGTTTTTAGGATCTCTAGCCTTTGCAGCAGGTCTCTCTCAGTCCAGTTCTCTGCTCTCCAGTCTGGCTATTAATAGACTAAGAGCATGTCATTGTTGGGGACTTGGACAGTAGTGACTCATTCATCCCTTGCCAGCTCTGCCTGGTGCCAAGTGGCCTGAGCCTTCCAGCTTGTTCTCATAGCCATTTGCCTACCAAGAGACTATGAGCTTTGCAATGGAACATCTCTGTGAGGCCATGAGTTTAGAATGAGCATCTGCCATGTCCCCCTTGTTCTCCACATGGCCTGTTGAGTTCTCGCCTTGTCAGCCATTCCCAGTTACTCTTCCCTGGTTCCGAGCAAACTCACCCCGAGGTTGTGGGGTATCAGCCCACTGGTAGCTGCAGCAGTTGAAACCCAGTGATGGCTGTTTGGCTTGGGAGTTGCATGGTCACTGCCGAGTCTTGGGTGGTGGTGTCTTAGGCCTCTGAGAGTTAACATCCAGCCTGATGCCCTTCCCCAGCTGATAATAGGTGGGCTGGATAAGATAGACCTGAATGACTGGAAGTCCAACACGCGCCTGAAGCATTGTGTGGCTGACAGCAACATCGTGAGGTGGTTCTGGCAGGCGGTGGAGACCTTCGATGAGGAGAGGAGGGCCAGACTCCTGCAGTTCGTGACCGGATCCACACGAGTTCCTCTCCAAGGCTTCAAGGCTCTGCAAGGTGACTGATGGTGGAGTTAGGGTCATTCCCCCAGGTGTTTAACTACCATGTTCTATCCTAGACTGCAAGAACAAGAATTGAAGTGTGGGCTGTCCCACTAGAGAATGAATGATGGTGGCCAGTGTTCTCTTAACAAGTACTTAGCCCTGGGATGCCTGGCAGGGGTGGGGTCATACTGGAGTTCCCTTTGGGCCCATGGATCCCATGGTCCAGAAGCAGCAGGGGCTACTAATAGCTTCTGGTGTTCACAACCCAAGGCAGTACTGCCTAACACCAACCTACGGGATTGGTGGATTGGTGGAGAGTCAGGTGGGGGACACTGGAGCTTAAGTGTTCCGTAATTGCTGCAAGTGTGGAGTCCTCACCAGCCTTGAGAGACTGAGTGAGTCCACCTTATGTCCCTAGTGATGCAGGGCTGCAGGAGGCTCTGCAGGAGTGGCAGGGCTCCTCCCCAGATGCAGGAGGAGTTTGCGCTTTCTCCGGCACTGGTCTGTAGTATAATCTGCTAAGCCTGGGCTTGCTGCTCCTCACACACCAGGATGACTAAGATGTACTAAGGACATGGGATTTATTCTCTGCCCACTAAAGTAGTGAGTTTTCGTGAGGGTTCAGATTTTTGTGACCCCCCCCCCCACACACACACCCTTCTCTTCTTACCTCCAACTTCTTCCCATAGCAGGCCTGCTTACCAAATGTTCCCATTGAGAAAAAACCCTGCTGTCACAAGGGTCTTACTAACATTATCCAAGACCAGACAGGGGCTTGGGTGTCAGCCAGGAATGGGACAGGGACCTCATCCAATCCTGGAGCAATTGGTCCCACAGGAGAGAGGAATGAATGTCCCATAGAGCGGGGCATTCCACTGGAGGCACACAGGCCAGGTGCTGAGTGGCCAAGAGGCCGCACTGCCTTTCAGTAGCCTGCCTCAGCACAGCCAGCCTTTGTCCTGCTGAGGAGCGTGACACCTGTAGTAGGCACAGCATGGACTAACAGCCTTGGTAACCCCAGCAGCAGGGGACTAGGAAAAGCCATAAGCATCTCGGAAGACAGGAGTAGGGAATGGTCCAGTGGCCGATGCTTTGTTAACTTGAGTGGAGACAAACCAGTCTCTGTCTCAGCTATCCCCAGAAAGGTTCCGGGGCACAGTAGATGCAGGGGCTCTAAGTCCCTGAGGCTCAGGAATGAGTCCCACTGCCCCAGGGCCTCCTGGCCAGGCACTCCCGGGCTTTGTCTGTGAAGTTCATTAACTAGAATATTGTCTTGTAAGGTTCTACAGGCGCGGCAGGGCCCCGGCTCTTCACCATCCACCTGATAGATGCCAACACAGACAATTTACCCAAGGCTCATACCTGGTAAGTTTGGCCACTGTGGGGTCATGCGTCCTTCATGTCATCTCCACTAGAGCCTCAGATCACACCTAGAGTCAGACGAGACAGGTATTTGAGTCAGTGGGTGCGCGTGTCACTGCTCTGTGAACTGGATTTTGAATGTAGTGACAGCTGCCTGTGAGTGCAGTCTGAAGGCCCATGAATGACCCGTGGCTGTGTGTGTGCATGGACCCATCAGAAAGGGACAGACACTATCTGATGTGTGGCTCCTCATTTTCCTTCTCCACAACTTTACTGAAAACATTTTGCGCAGTGGATTACTTACTTGGTAGTTCAAAGAGTTTAAAGATAGCCTCGGAGTCATTACCTCTCCTTCGGCACACTAGTTCCCAAGGTTGTTGGGATGCTAAGTAATAGGACAGAAGGTTCAGCTGCTGCCTTTGACCCAGGGAGGAGGTTTGGAGGGAACGATTTATGTCTATCCCAGCTTTTGTTTATATCTGTAAGATGGACTAATCCAATCATTCCCAGGCCATGTAGGACACCAAGCCTGCCTCAGCATGACATGGCATGTGCTCCTTCCATTTCTAACCCCATTCCTGCTTCAGTGGCTGTGATCCACAGGCCACTGCTTTTTCTTGACTGTCTTTTTAAAATACTGTGAGACAATAGATGTGTCTCTTTGTACAAATACTTGAAGTGAGTTTCTTAAGTGGGAAGGTTGCTACCCACCTCGCCTGTCTAGGATTTGGCACCCTTTTGCTTTTGAGCCGCAGCATACTCTTGCAGAGGACTGGCTGACTCTCAGTAGGCAGAAGGAGAGCTAGCTGATGGTCAGCAGTGCAAATCACAGGCCAGCCAGGGGTTCTTCCTAGTGTAGAGAAATCACACCCAGAGAGAAAACAAGCAGGAAGTGTACAAGTTTAAATTTGATTTTGTAGATTTTGAGACAGCACATCCTGCTCTGTGTGGTGACTCCCAGCAGTGACTCGGGCTCCTTTGTCCTTTTCCAGCTTTAACCGGATTGACATCCCGCCCTATGAGTCGTATGAGAAGCTCTATGAGAAGCTGCTCACAGCTGTGGAGGAGACCTGTGGCTTCGCTGTGGAGTGAGGAGTGGCCAGGGGCAGCAGAGTCTCCTTCACAACCACCAGACCCAAAGCATATGGCGTCTGCACGCCTCCCGCATGGCGGGCTGAGGCCTGAGATCCCAGAAACCCGAGGGAAAAGGCTCGTCTCCCTCCTCCTTTGGGGAGGGCAGGCCAGGGGACTTTCATAGGTGGCTCCCACCCATTTATCCCTCCTTTATTATTGTTTGCCCACCCCTCCATCACCCATCCACTAAAACGCAGCCAGGTTTTGCCCTCAGCCTCCTTGGCATGGTGGGAAGGCTGTGGGAGCATCAACCCATGGTCAGGGCCAAGCTGGGCCCGAGGGTTTGCATGGTCTCTGTACCGGCTCTCTCGGCTTAGCCTCAAGGCCCTTTTCAAGTTCAGCAGCTGCCGATAGCTTACCAAGCTTAAATTCCAGCTGTCCTGTTAGCAGTGTGTTCCAGATAGCAGGTGGATTTCCAAGCAGGAAATCACTGTGTGTCTGCTTGCTGGAATTCCACCCGGTCAGGAAGCTCAAGGCAGAATGCATTTCCCTTCTGAGAGGTAAAGGGATTAGAGGCCCAGGGTATTTCTTTCCAGGGTATCCTGGCTGAAAAGATGGTTTTGCACAGGGGGAAAAAAAATCTTTAAAGTTCCATTTGTTGTGTTCTCTACCCAGTTTGAAATTCTCATATGTCATGGAGCTAATCAAAGAATGGCCAAAAGGCTCAGATTCCCTGGGCCCAGCTGACTCCCATACCAGGGACTGGAGGCCCCTGACTGTCTTAAAATGTTAGTGGACTTTTATATGGGGATTGCTAAGAGCTAAACTAACCGAACAATTTGTCATCACAGCCACTGGATGGGACAGCAGGAGAGCTGCTGACCTGGGGTCCCCTGATGCAGCTCCCCAGGGTTGGTGCTATGCACAAAGCAGGGTGTGATGGAGCCTGTGGTAACAGGGTGGGGGCTTTACCTCCCTACATGGCCCTCTTCCCCAGTGGCAATGGTGATGCTAACAGTTCTACTCAATTTGCTTGCTCAGCCTTCGACTTCTGATGAGCAAGGCCAAAGCCAGCCTAACACCATGTCTCTAACACCATTTTCAGTTTGCACAAGTGTTCAGAAGCGGTGACCCTTTTGATAGAGGGGCTGGATTCAGGCAGCTGAACTCTGGTGTGGAAGGCAGAGCAGCAGCCGACTTTCCATGTGTGGTTTTGTCATTTTTGTTTGCGGTGGGGGTGAGAACAGGGTAATTCATTAGCAAGACATTTCATTGGTACCGGGGTTCAGGTTCAGCCATGAGTTCAAGTTGTACGTGGGATATGAGGAAGGTCCTGTTGGGCACTGGCTTTTGTGTTCTTTTTGTTGCTTACCCTCAAGCTAGGGATAGGAAGGGGCTTCCCTGCTGTTCCTGATGCTTCTGTCCAGCTTGCTCTGGGAGCAGCTCTGAAGTGACTGGGCCAAGAGGTTTGGCAACTTGGTGGCCACTGGTACTTCAGAATGTGAGTCAGCCACACTCTAGGTTTCAAAGTTTGGGGACAGGAAGACCTCACTGCACAAAAACTGAATCCGTCCCACCATCTAGGCCAGACTGGGGCCTTATCAGTGTCCACTTTCTGCCTTGCCCCAGTAGGGCTCTGTATTCCATCTACCTTAATGCTTCTGGGGTGTCCTAAAAGCCCGCTCCTCATGGCTGGGAGTATTTTAAGCGAGGAAGTCTGTGCCCTAAGCCAGAGCCAGTCCACGGGAACCAAACTGAGCCTGCAGAGTGACACTTTGGACACTGGAAACCCTGCCTGTTGCTGTCGCCCTGTGCCAGTCTGCAGTGATGAAGGAAACCAGGGTCCTGTGCTTTGGAGTGGTTACATTGGGAGTGATAAAGGGACAAGCCTTAGGAGTCCCGAGGAAGATCCAGAGGTTGGGCCCTCGGGCTGACTTTGGTAGGCACACAGACCACCACTAAGGCTTCCAAGTCTGCTTGCATAGCCTGTGGGACCCCATTGCCAGTTCTGAGTGTCCCAGCTCCCCCGGAGCATCTGTCTGCGCAGCACCGTCCTGTGTTGGTACCGCTGCACCTCCTTGTCTGTCTACCATGGTTAGGCCCTTCTGAAACACCTCAAAGGACACTGTGTGGCCGGCCCATGGCTAAGCTCCTGGTTGCCCTGCTTTGGGTCTGGCTGAAGCCCCTTCATGTAAGATCTCAATTGTCACCTCTCCTGGTGGCCCCAGACGATCCCCCATCGCCACATCACCCAGATGCTTCAGGAGCCCGGCTTTCCAGGCTCCTCTCACCAGCGGCCAGCAGCCACACTCAGGGACGCAGCAAACACCACTCTGCTTCGCAGTGCTTCAGAGGAAGCGCAGGCTGCAGCAATGGGGTGGCAGCGGGTCGCAATCTCCTGTTTTCTGTTAGGAGAGTCTGCCCCCCGATGGGATGCTGGGATGCTGACCCCTACACTGGCTTGGCCACATGGTCAAGTTCAGGATAGGCGGACCCTGGACTGACCTTCTGCAGAGAAAACACCCCATCCTACTGCAGCCACGTGGGGGCCACATGGCAGCCTTCTGAAACAGTGTGGATTTTTCAAATGTGTTTATAATGTATTCTAATTTATTTTGTAAGGTCCTGTTTGAAGTGCTGCTGCTACCCTAGTTGCTCTCCCAGTTTTTATTGCCCATTTACTTGTGACAGTTGTACACTAATGTTCTGTTTTATGTCTGAATTGAAAAGTATTTAAAGAAATGCTAGTTCTATTTAATGCAGTTGTGGAACCAGCTGGGAACATGAAATATTGACTGTAGAGCAGGCTGGACCCGGGAGGTCAGGTTCATTTTGTTACATATGCAATAAACTCACAACTTTACATTTTCTTTTGGCATCTGTTACTTTGATGTGGTATTTAACCTAGCTTCACCAGCAATGAAGTCCAGCCTACAAGGCAAAGCTAGGACTTCAGCGAAAACAAATGGAAATACCAGTGCTTAAACAGACTCCATATAGTGTTCAATCTGTCCCTGACACCTTGGACTTGAGGTGGCAGCATTGTGCCTTCCTCGGCGCTCTGCCTACCACACTAGCTGGTTAGCCAATTCCTTACAAGACTGCCCAGAATTTCAGCACACAAACCTCTGTTGCACTCTATTACAATCTACAGAAATCTGGGGTCACCATGCTCTGGTTGACTTTTTGAGGACCCTTCCCTACTGCAGGTGCTTCTGGGAAAACTATGACATTCCATCGTTGTAAACTTGTCCCAAGTCAAAAGTACCATGTACTCACCTCTGAGGTGGTGATGCATCTCCTCGCAGCATCCCGAGACAGTTTACCAGGAAGTGCTGTGTGGGTTGGAGCTACTTGGTAGTTAGAACTCTGCTCCTTTCCAGAGGGTCTGGGCTCTTCTGTCTCTGTAAGAAAGCATTACAGACTGTGTCTTGTGCATAAAGAGAGAAGTCCAAGCTCAGGTTCCCCAACAGATTCTGTACTGCTGGAAAGCCCTACGCCTGCATCATTGCATCAGTAATGCCTCCTTGCTGTACTCAAACAGTAGCTATAATCATGCCCTGAGGTCTTCTGTGAGGGTTCCCCAGCACGACCCAGTCACCTCCTAGGGGCTTACCTCTGACTTGTCTCGAAGGTTGAACCTTTAATACAGGAACTATGAGGGGAACACAAAACCCTTGGCTTTCAGGTTCTTGCTTTGCCCGAGCATCTCACGAAGAGTGGCAGGCTGGTGTCATGTCATATCTACGCCTGTCCTCCCCCGCCTACCAGGAATGCTGAGGGCAGTGGCCTCAGCCATAGGGGGTGGCATCTTGGGCCTACAGTTCATAGCTGAACATGATTGGGTCACTGTGCCTGAAAAACCAAATGTCTGCAGTGGACTGCAGAAGGGAGACACCCCCAAGCTTTGGGCAAACCTGGCCACACACCACATGCCCAGGCCAGGTCAGGCTCGCTTATTGCCTCAGGGCTTTGTGCAGGGCCAGGGGTAGGTGTCTTGGGGAAGCTTCATACTTGCATTGCCTGTTTGGCATCCCTCACCCAGAACAGTTACATGGGGAAGGCTTTCACTTTTCACCACTGAGAGCCACATAGCCCCCCCCCCCAGTCTTCTCCACTCTGGCACACCTTCTCTGCCATCCCACTTGGTGTTGGCAGGCACAGTGACTAGATCTTGCCCTACCTGAGCACCCATGATGTGGCCCAAGGTGCCACAATGACCCATAATGCCCTTCCCACTCCACCCCTCGATCCTACTTCGTGCAGCTTCAGTGGGCACTTCTGCTACAGGAGGGGACAGGTTGCATGACCTGACCCCATTCTGTCACCTCTTCCTCCAATGGCCTGTCCTTGGTCCAGCAGTGAAGGTGTCTTTACATGCCTGCCTAGCTTGGTGCTAAACATCACTCAGTCATGGATGTCAGGCGGTGACGGCACTGGAGGCCCCAGCGTGCCCAGGCCCAGTTCTCAGGTAGGTGGCTGTGGAAGATGGTGACCTCTGAATTCATGTTATTCACGAGACAGCAGCAAAGTGTTCTGGAGAGAAGAAATTACACCAATTAGCTTTGTGCAAAAACAGTGGCACACAGGTCATCCCAGCGTGAGGGAAGGGGAGGCAGGATGATTAAGAGTTCAAATTCATCCTTAGCTTCCAATGGAGTGTCAGGTTAGCCTGAGTTACATGACGCATGACGCTATCTCAAGAAAAAAAAAAAAAAAAAAGTAACCAAAATATTGGACCAGTGATGTGGCTGTGGGCAAAAGTGCTTGAGTGCACAGCCTAATGACCTGAGTTCAGTTCCCAGGTCCCCATGCACACATACAGACACACCACAAAGTACGCTGGTATTTTTAAAAACGGGTCCTGAAGCATTCATTACAGTGTCTAGTAATATTCAGTAAGTGATGGCCTTTTAAAAAGTGAGAAACCAACCGGGCGTGGTGGCTCACATCTTTAATGTCATCGCTCAGAAGGCAGAGGCAGGAAGATTGCTGAGTTCAAGGCCAGCCTGGTCTACAGAGTGAGTTCCAGAACAGCTAGGAGCTAGGGCTGTTACACACACACACACACACACACACACACACACACACACACACACACACAAACCTAGGGCTGTTACACACACACACACACACACACACACACACACACACACACACACACACACCCCCGAAACAAAAAACAAGTGAGAAGCCAGGAGGCCATTTAGTAGAACTCTGCCCAGGGAGATAGGCTCAGTGGGAGAAGCTGAGAAACTGCTAAGGACCCAAGTTCAAGCCCAGGAGCCCACATAGTGAAGGAGCAAACTGACACCCACAAGTTGTCTGACCTCTGCACGCATGCCCACAAACACAAATAGGCCAGGTGGTGGCACACACCTATTAATCATAGCACTCAGGAAGCAGAGGCAGTATGACTATGAGGCCATAGTTACACTGTGAGACACTTGGCTCAAAACAAAAAGACAAAGCTATCTTGGGTTATACAGCAAAACTGCATCTGAAAAGTCAGAAGGGGTGGCTTGTGAGGAAGCTCACTGAGCTGTCTCAGGAGAAGCACTCAGACACCTGGGGTCACCTAGAGTTCAGCTCCTGACTTGGAACCCAGTGGGAGACACAGTAGCTACAGAAAACATTCTGGGGCTCCAGACCCAGATTCTGGTCTCAGGGAAGCAGCTGCTTTCAAAAGGCAAAGGGGAGGAGATGTACAGATGAGCACATTTCCTAGAAGGTCCCAGCAGGTCCCAGCAATCAGCGGTCAGCCTTCTACAATGAGAGCTGAGCCACACCGGGATTGGCTGAAGCCCTGTGTGAGGCCCAGGGAAGGCCCAGAGGGCCTTTGAAGAAGGACATGGCTGGCCATGAGAATCTGCCCAGGAGGCAGCAGCTGTGTGAGGAAACGGAGGAGCCTCAGGTCTGGGGAAGGGACTTCTGAAGAGAACTGTATGATTGGGTTAAACACCTAGGCTAAAACCAGTGTGAGCACAGTGACTCTTGCCGATTCCAGCACTCGGGGCTTGCACATGGAGTTGAAGGCTGGAAAGACAGCCAGGGCTGAAAAGTGAAGGCCAGGCCATCCTGGGCTACACAGCTAGGACCCTAGCACCCACCCCCGCCCCCAGTGTCAGCAAAGTAAAGGAAGTAAATAGATACCAAAGAGTCTAAAGAGAGGTAAAGTCATCTGTATCCTTCAAATGTGTTTTTAAATATTCCCAAACAGGTTGGAGAGATGGCTGAGAGGGTCAGTTCCCAGCACCCAATCAGGTGGCTCACAATCACCTCTAACTCCATCTCCAGGGGATCTGATGGCCTCTTCTGGGCTCTGTGGTTACTAACATACATATGGCATCCAGACAGGCAGATTGGCAGGTGTGCACTCAGGCACACACACATGCATCCACGTGCACACAGACATCTGCAAACGAATAATTTAACTAGTCTGAAAAAACAATGGTAGAAAATGTAGTTCCTGCAGAAAGGATCTGAGTTCAAATCCCTGAAACCCACGTAATAGTTGGACATAGTGCATGTCTGTAATCAAGGTGCTCCTGTGGAGAGATGAAAGGTGGAGACAGGAGACTACTGGGTAATGTGTGGGCCAGCTCACATGGCATCTTCAACAGCAAACAGGAGACTGGAACAAGGTGGAAGGTGACCACTAATACCTGAGACTACCTGACTACACAGACATATGTGTCTATACACACACACACACACACACACACACACACACACACACACACACAGAAGAGATGGCTCAGTTAGTAACATGTTTGCTGCACCAACATGAATTTGATCACCAGAACCCATGTGAAAAGCCAGGCACAGGGGGCTGTGTGCCTGCAGAGATGGGAGGATCCCTAGGACTTGCAGGTCTAACCAAACAAGTAAGCTTCCAGGTTCAGCAAGACCCTGCTTTAAAAAAGTGTGCTGAGCAATTAAGGATGACACCTGACTTTGAGCTCTGGTCACCACATGCACGAGCACACACATAAGCATGCATGAGTGCATGCACAGACATGCATGAGTGCACGCACAGGCATGCATAAGCATACACACACAAGCATGCACAAACACAGACATGCATGAGTACACACAAGCATGCATGAGTACACGCACAGGCATGCATGAGCGCACGCACAGGCATGCATGAGTGCACACACACACACAAGGCATGCATGAGCACACACACATACAAGCATGCATGCACACACACAAACACAAGAAAAGGATCTCGGCTAAACAGTCAACTGAAAGCAAATGCCTGTGAAAAATCAGGCCATCCAAGAGAGTTCAAAGGTTAGCCATGTACACAGAGCCAGACAAGCAGCTTCACAGCTGTTCACAAGGCCCGTTCATTTCCCGGAGACATGTATACACAGTTGAGGACAAAATGCACAGACTGCAAGTAAAACTCCAAGGATTTGCCTCTGACACACATGTCCTAGAGCAGGAAGGGCTCTGGCCACTGTGAGGACACAGGGCCATCCTGACAGCCCCGGCCCTGCCCCATATTCTAGAGACTGACCTATTGCTCCAGAGGATCCTCTCCTCCAAGGGTCTTTGCTGGCCCAGAACACCCATACTGGCCATGGATACATCTATACCCAAGAGCTGGGTTGTCTGCTGCCCACACAGCCTAGGACAGAGCTAACTGCCTGTCCTACACACACATCTGCTTTTTAAGGCCCAGAATCACAGACAGGCACTGTTCCCGCTGTACTAGAGGAGCTGTAACCATCTTTTCTTTCTGCCATATAGTTCAGACGGTGCCATGGTTCAAGTTCAGACCTTGCTAACCAATGATGAACGTCTGAACAGGAAGTGTGAGCCTCCCAAGCTTTTTCTTGATGTAGTGTTAGTACTGAAT